ATAGGGGTAGAGCAGATGTGGACAAACAACCATAACTTTCTTCAGGAGTTTACAGCTGGTGACCGCGAAGAAGAAGAAGAAGAAGAAGAAGAAGAAGAAGAAGAAGAAGAAGAAGAAGAAGAAGAAGAAGAAGAAGAAGAAGAAGAAGAAGAAGAAGAAGAAGAAGAAGAAGAAGAAAAAGAAGAAGAAGAAGAAGAAGAAGAAGAAGAAGAAGAAGAAGAAGAAGAAGAAGAAGAAGAAGAAGAAGAAGAAGAAGAAGAAGAAGAAGAAGAAGAAAAAGAAATAGTTTCGTAATTCCAACACTAATGGTTTGATTCAGCTACATGTTATTCAACAGTACACCGCTTTGTTTTGATTTCCAGTTTGAGCGTTAACTGTACAGGATGTAGTGACACACTGCTGTACGTAAACATTGTCTAGTAAATTTACTAACAGCCAACAGACGCTGAAGCTGTTTATGATGTCCTATAAATAAAGGATTTGCAACTATTTATCTTCTCTAATCTGATGAAGCTATTGAACCAGTACTAGCTCACGGTGAACTTCCTGCTGACTTCTGCGCACTTTAACTTTCAAATAACTAACGTCCACATCACTCGCCCGCCACGTCACGGCCCGCCATCTGGTGGAATTCCCATAAATCCCCGCGACTCACAGGACTGGGTTCGTAATACACAGAAGTAACTTGTGACCATCACGGTTCTCTGCCTGGGGTCACGGGGGCACACAGTCTTAATTAATTCAATACTAAACAACTGTTTCTACTTATATTATACATAAGTAACCACCCAGTTGTTAAATTTAACCTATTCTGCTCTAATCGTTACTTTAACTCCCAGGCCTATAGTTTTTTTTTTCAAAAATAGGTCAATTAATGGATGATATGGCTAGCATCCCACCGTTCACTTTTACTTCTCACATTTCTTAGTACCAAGAATAGACTGTGTCAGCTTGGTTTAAAAAAAATCCCATTCTTAACGAAATATAGCAAACCAAAACGTCTAGTAGAACTAGTTGGCGTCCACATTATCGCAAACAAAAAAAAAACGACAAATGAGCGTTGCGGCTAAAGGCTTCATCAGCACAATGAATGAACTGTGACAAGAAAAAAAAATCACTTAACTGAAGTGCCTACGAGAGAAATCGTATATCTGTTAAATCTCTGACACTTGTGTCCTCAACGGAAATGGAACATACGACTACCATGCCGACAGAAAAGAGTGATACCCTCCTAGCTACGAAGACTCCCACCGAGGGCAGGCATCGATATGGCTCACATTTAGGGTAGGTATCCATATGGCTCCTATTTAGGGTATGTATCCACATGGCTCCCATTTAGGGTAGGTATCCATATGGCTCCCGTAAAGGATGAAGGTGATATCTCGCAAACCATCAATATCTAGTGGGTGTCGTATCACACAGTTTGATATAAAACCGAACGGAAAGTATATCAGCAAGCGTCACAATATAAGAAATACAAACAAAAAGTGTACAGAGCCTTTACCAGAACAAACATAGATTTAAAAAAAAAAACCACACCAATACACAAAAGTCACTTTAGTTTTAGTTCTTCTTCTTCGCGTTCACCAGCTGTAAACTCCATTGGAAAAGTTCTGGTTGTTCGTCCACTCCTGGACTGCACTCCTGCTCCAGAACCTGAGTTTTGCGTGTGCATCCGTTTTACAGTCACTTAACTGACGTATCCCGAAGCAGCCACGTTGATGTCTTGCCAGGGGAATGGTTTGAGACCCGCTGTTGTGAGAATGATGGGCCAGCCCAGAAGGCTGTATCTATTTTAAGCTGTGTCAATATTATTGGTTTACTAGCAATGAGAATGTTCACGTGGTATAAATAGGTGGGAATCAAACTCCTGGTGTCTATGCTTATGTTTGACTCTAATATCAGTTTCTGAAGGTAGGTAGGATTTTAAAGAACAAACAGTCTATGTTTGTTTTGTGTTTTGATTGTTTTAATTGTTACTGTTAGGAATATTGGTTGGTTTTCATATTAGAAAAAGAAATGAAGTAAACATAAATAAATAAATAGACAGAATAAATAAATAAATATATAAATAAATAATGGTACCTTATTAGGCCAGTAACGTAAAACACTTATGATATATGACTCATCTTTGTAAAAACCAATCGGCTTTCGGTGTGGATGTGTTTAAAATCATGCTAGCCGAATTTCCCTATGCACTCGGTTTTTATACTATTTCAATATCTATTTTACACCGATCTGGGAATGAAAGATGGTGAAATTACACTCAAATGTAAAAATTAAACACTGTTATTTGATTACGTGACGAGGACAGAATGATGACTGGAAATGTCATTGGTAGAAATGGCAGAAGCCGACAGAAAGAAATTTTGCTAGATAGGTTTAGACAACGGAAGGAGTAATCATCATCAATAGCATCGATTCAGGAAAACAAAGGACAGAAATATGTAGAAATATTCAACACCAACGCTTTCTGATACAGGATAATGCTTATAATGAAAATCGCCACTTGGCGATCCCGTTTTTACTTGTGTTGCCGCGACCTCTGAGTGCTTCGCGTAGTTCAGTTTTTTTTAACTGCTAGAACTAATATACTAATGTCTAACATGACAGTTTTCTGTCACTATGATTACTCTTTTTTTTTTTTCAGGTTTTGTTTTGTTCGCTGATAAAGGCCTTTTTTTTTAACACGTTCTCGTTTTGTTTGTGTATTTTCTGTGTGCATTTTCTGCCGACGAGCTTCCTGTTTATCCAGTAATTGTAAGTAAAGTTAAGGAGGACCCTTTTCTATGTTTTCAGGCGTATTGTGCATATACGGTTAGATCTATATTTTATAAACCAATCGGCACTCGGTGGGGCATCTAGTTAGTATCTTGCCGGCCACCTTTGTTTTCCATGACTATACCAGATACCCACTCAGGGCTGGGTCGACCTGGAAGCCAAAGTCATTTTTGAAAATAGTCTGGCTCCAGTAGGTTCCGAACCAGCGACTTTCCTATCTGCATGCGAGCTCCTAGCTGCTACACCAGGCGACTTGCCAGTGATTGTTCCGCCTCTGGATTCATTTCACAATCCACTCTTCGTCGTTTACCAGCGTTCGATTCCACAGATGAGCCAATTATAAAAAGATACGAGAATCACACCGTTAAAGAGATTGGGGCCTCAGCACGTAATATTTCTATTGTCCGCACTGGGTACAGTGCAGGAAACATCCTGTGTGTTCTTTGGGAGGTGGGGGGGGGGGAGCGATCGTCTATATGGTTAAACCGAGCTTCCAAATTCACTATAGCTTGCCGTCCTTTTTAGGACGAAATTTTTCATTATTTGAAGCCCTACTCTGGCTCTTGCCAGGGGCTGCAATATAGCCTGGCCATAAATATGGTCTAATGGCTGAACGCGGTTTTTGGGACCTCTCCACGGTGATCCTCATCCACATGGTGGCACTTTATGCCATCGGGTGTTTATCGCTTGTGTGATGTCCTGGTGGGGTAGAAAGTCAGTCAGCTTCCAAATTCACTGTAAACGGGTTGCCCTGCCCTGCTCCTTTTGCCAGTAGAACTGACACAAAAAGTCCCTCACTGTCCAGCCTGAAAACGTGTGAATAACTTGTCAGCCCAAACAACATCTTAAAGTTCCCAGTATCTTCCTTTCCTCTCCGGGCCCTAGTAACAAACCGGAGACATAATGCATACAGCTGTAGGAAACAACATTTGTTCCTTGATCGATCCCATTGATTTTCTTTTGTCCAACATCTTTTATTTAATGTTTATAAACACGGACGCTACCTTGACCTGGTGTGCTTGGCACAACAATATGGAGTCACCAAGTGGCCACGTGTTGGCCGTCACGTGAGTCAAGTCAATGATGAAATGTATGGGCATATGCCAGTTTCTGGTCGTTATCTGAATACAGTGTTTGCCTCGGCATACGTACCTTATCTGTCCTTGATCCTTGGGCGCATACTTCTTCTTTTTCTTCTTTGCGTTTGGTTTCGTATGCTCAGATCAGACCATCAGGTGGGTTGCCTCTATGAACTCGCATGTCAGTAGCAGGTCCTTCATGGTTCCCCATAGTTTGCTCTACACACTTTGCTCTTGAGGCCAGGTGTCTTTTCGAAGTTGTAGTGGAGTGCGCAGATCTACAGAATGTGCTCAGGTATTTGTGATTCTGTCTGACATGCACACTGTGGTACCTGTACAGTCTTTATTTTATACATGTGGTAGTTGACACGTGTCACCATACTAAGTCGTACAGTACGTATATCAAACGAATTTCCCCAAGGGAAATAAATAGAGAATGATTAATCAGCCTCACGGGGAAAATCTTATTATTGGTACATTATACACTGACTGTGTTGTATACAATAATGTCTGTGCTGCCTAATACTAAAATGCATAAGTACAAAAGCAATCAAGTGATAGAGGTCCCGGGTTCAAAACCCAGGGAGAGCTGAGATTTTTTACATGGACTTCTAGTCATTTTCTCTGGTCTCTGGGTAGTAAGACCAGACGCCTGTGTATATTGTTGCGCACGTAAACAAAATCCCTTGGCAGTTGGAAATCGAAAAGAGTAGCCTAACGGCGCTGCCCGGGTAAAATTTGGAGTTAAAAATCTACCCTAAGTATTTAAGGATCCTTGCCGGTGCTACAGAGTTCGTGCACTGCGCTGAGAATCGTCTGGCTCAGGCTTGAGTTAGAAGTAGAAATGAGCACTTATGGGTTGCACCCCTGTGCCTTGATCCGTTAAATAAGCAAAAGTTGAGCGCCTGCTTAGTTGATACTGAAAAGGGAGGAGAAGAATATATTGTTATTTGAAAGGAGAATCCATTTCCACTAAAACTTCTGGAATCTAAAGTTCCCCCTTTTTGCTTTTACCCTCCCCGTTTTTCCACCCACCCTCCCCAAATGGAGCTCATGAGCCCATACAGATTTTTGTTTTTAATTCAAGTAATCGAGGAGGGTGAATTATTTGAAGTCTGATGTGAGTCGATTATGTTTCAGATGCCTTCGCCTGTGTCAACATACTACATCGATAACAACATGGACGAATACGATTTCATGAGTATGGACATGCACAAATATGTCAGCTCGTCACACAGTGGGAAAGGGCGGAGCAAGGTAAGAGACACAATAGAGGGATGAGAGTGAGAGATAATGAGTGAGTCATACAAATAGACTGACAAACTGAAGGACAAATAAACCAAAGTAAATAACTCAAATAAAACAGTGTTGTTAGAATTACCCAGCACATTGGCAACTATGAATTTCTTTTAAATATAAGAACTGGTATGGATTGTTTGGATTTTTTCTCCAGGAAACACCGGTGCTTTGGGAAATGAACAGGCGGACAGACTGGCTGGCTCTGCACAAATTGGTGGAATACTGATGCATGATAAGGCAGAAATCTTTATACCGACATTAGGTTATCAATGTCAGACTTGGACATTACCAAAAGAACACGAGAGAAGACTAACCACCTGTGAAATGAGATGTTTAAGAATGGCTGCGAATAAAACCAGAAGAGATCGAGTGAGAAACGATGTGATTACAAGAACTATTGGAACCATACCCATCGTTAAATGTATTGAGAAGCAAAGAATGAAATGGTTTGGTCACCTAGTGAGAATGGAACCAACGATGCCAGCATCAAGAGCATACAACATGAAAATCGAAACACCAAGAGGCAGGGGAAGACCAAGAAGAAGATGGATTGAAGGAGTCACGGACAACTTGAGACTTCATAACATCACGGCATATGAAGCGACTGAGCGCGCCCTGGCTCGGTTGCCGGTCATCTGATAGACTGCGACGCCTAGCGGCACAAGCAGATTTTGACAAAAGAAAAGAAAGAAGAAGATAAGACAGACGTGTTAGTGCCTTGTGGGAGAGCGTTTGCGTGTACATTTCGGAGGAGCAGATGGATCACCACAGTCTGGTGAGATTGATGCAGCGGGGAGTGACGAAAGGTTCTGGCAGATGTTCGAGGCTCAGAGGAAAGGCAAGACGGACGTTTAATCAGAATGCTACTGGCACTATTAGTATCGGAACTGAAGATGGGGACGGAGCGCTTATGGGAATACCCCGAGTGCTGTAATGTCGGTTCTTGAACCAACTCATCTCAACTCAACTGATATAGATATTTAATAAGATCAAACGGCTTCTCAATAAAACAATATACAGGCTTCGGTAGAGGCGAACAGGCAGACCAAAAAGGGCATGAATACAGAAATTGACTGATTGGACAAGCCTTATGATTGCAACCATGAAGTTCATTGCATCTGACAGTCAAAATTGGAGAAAGCTGATCAGTCGACAGCAGCTAGCGACCCAACTACGCTCACTGGTATGGGACGATGACCATGTTGATGAGTTAGAATTTAAAAAAGCACAGGTATAACTGTACTAATTTATTCAAACTTGCATATCCACAAACAGAGAGAGGCACAAACCTACACCAACAAGCACGATAACAGTGGCCACTGCCGGAAAACGGTGCAGAAACTCGTCAACAACGCTCACAAGAGATCTGGGCGCTCCTGAGGTAATCTTCGTCTTGTTTCTTCTCATGGAAGTATTCTTCAATCTGATCATTCGAGTATTTTGCCGGGCCACAAGAACATGGGAGTTCAGAACCTTATAGAACCCACCCTCCCTTTATAAAGGGGCGAAAGGTGTAGGGGGAGAGGGGGGGGGGGGTCGTTCTCACAAACAATTTTTGAGTGTCTTTAGTGGCCATTGTTACCATGAATGGAAATTCCCTTTACAAGTATTTGTTTGAATTTTTAAAATTTTATCCAGCTATATTATTTTAGTTTTGTGTGTGTGCAATTCAGCCTATTATTATTATTATTATTATTATTATTATTATTATTATTATTATTATTATTATTATTATGTACCTAAAGTAAGATTATGCTCTTTGTCACATAATTCAAACATTCCTCTTTGCAGTTCCTTGTCAGTCGGAATTGAAAAAATGTAAGCCGAATAATTGGTTACCTGGGTAAAATTGCAAAATTAAAAAAAAAAAATAATAATAATATTAATAATAATAATAATAATGCTCACAAATGCAGATTTGTAGAATGTGTGATGCTGATACACACATTATCGGATCATCATCGGTGCTACAGAGTTAGTTAAACGATGCTTTTTTTTTTTTTTTTTTCAGTCTTTCAATAGGATGTCATTTGCTTGACTGCAGGCACTCAGTTGAAGAATATTGTACCATCAGAATTATTTACCACACATTAAATAGATATTTACTCGAACTAGCTGAGGCCTATCAATAAAACAGAACTCTCCTGTTTTGAGTAAACAAAAGGATCATGTGATAAATCTGAAGTCACTATGGTGACCATGTGGCTGATCGTGAATTTCGGTGAAGAGATGTAGAGTCTTACTTGACAATGGGATGTATTTATTTCAGCCCCCAAAATGAAATGTATTTTTATCCTGCATTGTATGTTGATTTAACTCGGGGTACTTAATTTATAACTTACCCCTGACGTCACGGGAGACATTTCCAATAAATTTTAGGGTGTTCAGGTTGTAGTTTCTCGCGATTTATCTACAGCCAAGTTTAGGCTTAGGGTTAGGGTTAGCATTAGAAGACACTAGATGAACACTCAAGAAAAGCAACACACAACAGCACACTTCCACCCCTTGAAATAATGGACTGTCAGGTCAGCTGTGGATTTCCCACGGGGATTTCGTGTTTGGGGTACGTTATAAATTAAGAAACTAACTCGACAGTAAAGCGCCTGATAAGTTACAATGACATACGCCAAATAAATTTTTTTTTATCCCAGTTTATATTTTACTCATGTTTTCTTTCCAACTTCTCATCTTTCGAAACAAAAGCATGTTAGTTTGACTTTATTTTTTTTTAAATTTGCTGTAACTAGAATGTGTGAAACTCAGGAAAAAAAAAAAAAACGTTATTAACTCTTTGTTGTCGTCATTATTACCAGGATGAGGCACACAAGAGGAACCAAGTGGACAACTCGAACTTAAAAGTATGAACGGCACAACAGCTCCTATTGATCAGACAACGGATGTTTACATGCTTGCTTGACAACAATTTATTGACACATTTTTCTTCACTTTCCACACCATTCCGTTTTAAGTAATATATTGTGATTCTCGAACCGAAGGACTGCTGGCTACTTTGTAACGTAGGATGCCCTAATATAGATGTATATATATATAAGCACATAGACGTGCATTGATGAGAACTCATAAAGGAAGTAGATAGAAGGACACAGTAGACACCATAAAAATGGAAAGCTGCCCAAGTATATTTGTTTTCAACGGCTGATCAGGATTTCTGGGATATGCGCCTGTTTGTTTCACACTTAAGAAGCGGCTGCAATCTCTGAACTGAGAAATAAGGAAGAACGTAAAGCATTGATTGTCTTTTACTATGATAACTTAGTGGGTAACATGCTGAACATTTGAGTATAATATGTCAAAGTCATATTTCTAAAAAATTATGATTGAAATTAACTATTGGCCGATTATTGAGAAACCTCATCACTACATTGTCGATTTTCCTTCCCTTGGATTTTTAGGGTTAATTACTGAAAGCTGCTATATTAACAGATCGTTATTTATTGAAAGAGAATATAAAGTTAAATTTCACTGTTGAGATGAGGACGTTTCTCAGAGCAAGGGATATAACCCTTAAATTGTTTGTAAATGAGCTTACACGAGTTACGTAGATGCATCTCGTATTGTTGAGCCCCTGGACGAATTCTTCTTCTTCTTCTTCTTCTTCTTCTTCTTCTTCTTCTTCTTCTTCTTCTTCTTCTTCTTCTTCTTCTTCAAGTTCACCAGAGATAAACTCCAGATGAAATTTAGGGTTATTCATCCACTTCTGGACCTTGATCTGGTTCCAGACACCCCCACCCCCCCCCCCCCACCCCTACACACTTTTCCTGCCGGACACATGAAGATCTGATGCCCCTACACTCAAAGAATTCCATCAGGAAAGCCAGTCAAGAGGGATAAATACCACACACCCCCACCCAACAGCCTGAACGGTTATAAAATTAGGGCAGCTGTACTAGGCGTTGTACCGATATACCCTATTCTCCTGGACTGAGTGCGGAGATTTTGAATTATGACTAGTTTTTTTTTTTTTTTTTAATTAATTGTTTTTTCCCAGGATTACCATGGCAAGAATGAGAACCAGACAGGTACAAATCCTGTGTTAACATTTATACAGTGCAGACCGCTTAAGGCGATCCCGGATATGGTGAACTTCTGCTGTAAGGAACAATTTGTATACTCCTGGTAATTTTTTCTTTTTTAAATTCTTATCCAGACAAAATAAAGTTCTGATAAGAACAACCATTTCTTGAGTTCTCGGTGAGTTCTCCTTATCAGGTCTGCACTGTATTCGGTTATGAAGTAATCTTTTATAATGGGGTGTGGGTGGACTTAGACTGTACTCACCAACACCCATTATATTTGCCACATGTTATACTGTCTCTCGCAAGAGGTCACAATTCTCTTCATTTCTCCCATATTTTGCACATTTGTATTGTTGTTAAATATTTATATATCCCTTATAGGGAGGCGATCCAAGCACTTGTGTGAATAGCGAATCAAGATAGGTTGATTTATAGATTCTTATTTTGTAGTAAATGGTAATTAATGGTTAATGGAATATATAAATGAATGGTAAATAGTGGTGAATGGTGTTTATTTAGTTGTAAACTTCTTTCAGTGATGAATACCTTGGTAAAATAACTAAAATATCCCTGTAAGAGTTTGTGTGTATGTATGTGAGCGTGTGTATGTTTATGGGTGTGTGTTTACATGCTACGAGACAGGAGATTAGTGTATGTATATGGGTGTTATATGTGTATCTCTGTGGGTGTGTTTTTGTATGTGTGTGTGCGTGTTACAACATGCGTGTGTGAATATTATAGGACACGTCTGTGCGTGTGTGTTTAAATGATAGGAAGATATGCATTTTGAAAGATGTGTGTGTG